CATACACACAAACATACATACACACATACATACAAACATACATACATTCACACATAAAAGAACATAAATACATACGGAAAAATGGTGCATAAATCCACACATGAGAACTGAAACACGCGTATATTTGCGAACCCCCGGGTTGCGGGACGGCGATCAGCCAGTACTTTCAAACATTAGTAATCGCTTGACTTTCGCAATGCAAAAATAGGAGAAAGTCTGTATAAATATCAATATCAAGAGGATAAAGGAAATGATCTTGGTAATAATGATAATGACGATTACTGTCATTATCATTATCATCATTACTAACATTGATATTATTATCATTATAATCATCATTATTACTATTACTTTCATTATCATTATTACTATCATTAATATTACCCCCATTATCATTTCCATTATCATTATCATTATTACAATTATTATCATTATCATTATTACAATTATCATCATTATCATTATCATCATCATTATTAATACTATTAGAGAGAGAGAGAGAGAGAGAGAGAGAGAGAGAGAGACTGCATAACAGACAGACAGGCAGAAACTTGGCCAATCAGACAGACAAACAAACAAACAAACAGACAAACAAACAAAAAGAACAGAGTCTCCAAATCCACAACCCTACGATCTTTTTCCCCCCAAGAAAATAAATTCCCCCCGCTGACAGACCCATTTTCGAGCGAATACTCACACAAAATGGAGTCTAATTCCATCCCAAGCCCCGATGAGGATCCGGATCTCACCCAAATCTAATCAGCTGGTCCCGACAACGGATAATCCAACCATAGGAATTCACCGGAAACCGACAGAGAGTTTTCGTGGAATCCTGTTAACGAAATTACCGCCGGCGAAGACACTACCTTTTTCCGGATGTAACAATAATTGCATTGGTATATAATATAAAAAAAATATATTGAGGGTGATAATAAAAACAGTAATTAGGAAGGTGATAATGATAAAAGACAATAACAAAAAAAACAATAATAAATAATAACAATAATAGTAATAATAATGATAATAATAATAATAATAATAATAATAGTAGTAGTAATAAGTACAATAAGTGGAAATACTAATGATAATGATGACGATAATGATGATGATAAAAAAGATGATGGTTATAATTACATAACAATAATAGTCATAATAACAATAATGATGATAGTAATAACATCGACATACTAACAACCACGACATCACCTCCCCACACCCCTACAAACCCAATCCCACACACCCACACGCCGATAACAACCTCCCCCCCCACACACACACACAACACATACACACACACACAACACACGAAAAACCCGATTCGAACAGCGAAACTAAACTATACATTTCCTGCTAACCCTATGAAACAAATTAACCCTTACGACCGGCCGATTTCGATGACGTGCAATGGCAGTTCAGCGTGATTTGTGGCGCGCCGTAATTCATTTGGCTTTCCTTTGGCATTTTCCCTTTTGTCATTTTTACGCGCTGGGGTAGGTGTAGCTCTCGAGGGTAGGGGGGGTGGGGGGTGTAGGTCTGTAGGTCTGAGTGTGTGTGTGTGTGTGTGTGTTGTGTGTGTGTGTGTGTGTGTGTGTGTGTGTGTGTGTGTGTGTGTGTGTGTGTGTGTGTGTGTGCGTGTGCGTGTGCGTGTGCATGTGTGTGTGTGTGTGAGATCTTACATTCTTGAAGACAGAGACAGACTGACAGACAGACAAACAGACAAGAGAGAGATACTGCAAAAGAGATACATTGTATGAGAAAGGAAAAACGAAGCATAGAATAAGAGAAAGACACAGAAAAATAGGAAACAAGAAACAGTGAGAAAGAGGAAATGGTACATGACAGGGACATGGGAGTAGGAATGGAAGAGAGGAGGAAGAAAGAAAGGGAAAGAAGGAAAGGGAGGGAAGAAAAAAGGAGAGGGAGAGAAGGAAGAGAAGAGAAGGAATGGGAGAAAGAGGACGGGGGAGGAAAGAGAAGAGAAAGGAGAGAGGGACGGGGGAAGGGAACCAGAAGAAACGAAAGGGAGGGGAGGAGAAAGCCCATAAAAAGCACACACACAAAAACGAAAGGAAGAAAATAAGTGACAAGAACACGAGAACCCCCCCAAAAAAAAAAAAAAAAAAAAAAAAAAAAGAGAATGCCAAATAGTTGAGAAAGAAGAGGGAGACAAGAGAAGGCGAGAAGGGGAGGGGAGGGAGGGAGGGAGGGGTGACGGCGAGTTGCTCTTGTCTAAAATGCGCAGGGTAATTGAGAGACTGTGTCCTAAAGGGAATATTTCACAAGCGTTCGCCTCGGAAAATCTGGAGCGCCTCTGCGTGCCGACGGGAAAAAAGTGTCATGACATGTTAGCCCCCTTTGCCCCGTCCGGCCGCCTCGTCCGGCCGTCTGTCCGCCTGTCTGTCTGTCTGTCTGTCTGTCTGTCTGTCTGTCTGCCTCTGTGCTCTGTCTGTTCTGCCTCTCTGTTCTGTCTGCTCTGCCTCTCTGTTCTGTCTGTTCTGCC